GGTGGTTTTGCTTTGTCTATCCTCCACAGTAGCTGTTAAAAGGGGCTCTCTCACACCACTGAACTTATAACATCACTCATCTAACTCATTAGTGTGTCTGCATATCAGGATGCACGCTGAGTAAAGTCTGTTGGTGCAGGACGACGGGTCCAGATTGCAGTATGTAGGCCCACTAAAATGGAAAAAGATAGGGAGTGACTTAAGATCAAAGACATGACACCCTTGTCCTTTAGAAGAATAATGTGTTAACGTATGAATGTGGTATTAGTTAATGTTATTCACAATTGTGAATGTATGAAGAGAAAAATGCAGCATCTCAGACAACCAGTATTAAGCTTTCCAAACTTTGCAGGAATTAGCCAAATCCTTTACAATGTGGCTGCATATCTGAGCTTCAGTGATTGAGTCATGATTAAACACAGTTGTCACAATTATGAAAACATTACATCAAATATTGTAATTAACCCAATTAAAACATGAATCAAAATACATAATGCCTTCTCCAGTTATTCCCACAATACAAGATCACACACGGAACAGATAAGGATGTTCTATCTCTTAAATGGAACAACCACATTGCAATTAGGAAGCACAATAGGAACATCCTCCTCCACATTGAGGTGAAGAGTTACACCACCCCTGGGAGAATCTGCAGCAGTCAAAAACAAGCCAAATAGCGCTGCAGCATATATACTGGAGACCAGTGCAAGCCATGCAATCAGGGAGAGAGAGAGAGAGAGAGCGAGAGAGAGACCAATGCAGGTCAGGCTGTAAAAATAGGACATGCACTGCAATTTTGAATCACTTATGAATAATAAATCTTCCTAAACGTGTGTTTTAGAACTTTTCAAACCCAAGTTTTCCAGGCTGTTTTCACTGTGGGTAAAATTAATACACAACCAGAAAGCTCTTATTGAAGTGTTTTTATGGGGAGTTTACTAAAATGCACTTACTTCTGGAAGAAAGCACATTTCTCAATCCTTTTTTGCACATTCTGCAGTAGAGCACAGGCTTTCCTGCCTGTGCCGGTTTGGTAATCAGGCTGCGCTTATGGGTAAATGGAAATCTAGCCTTCTCCTTCCCTGGGTTGGCAGCCATGTGCTGGCCTCCCTCTGTGCTTTTGCTGGTCGCCTGTATCTGCTTAGAACAGGTGCCGGATCCTGTTCAGCTGCAGCATTCACAGCACAGGTACGGGTGGGAGGCCCTTGGCTGCTCGTACAGTCCCCCAAGTTTTCCAGGGGTCCCCATCTGTGTCCCCGCACATCCTCTGCCACATGGCACCTGTCCCTCGACGAGTCTGGTCCATTCTTCGTCCGGCGACGTACACGCCTGCCCGCCACCCCACACTCTGCCTGTTGTTGAGCCACAATGAGATGAAGAATAGCTGCACTCCATAATCCCTTGCTGTGAGATGTGTGTGTTTTTTTTCCCCCCGTCTTTTCCTCCTTTGGCCAGATTCGGGGCCAAGTACAAATTGTAAACAGGTTATTATGCTGCTGTAACACACTCCAACTGGAAATGCACTCCGACAACATTTAGTATTTACTGATGTAAGTGTGTCTTCATCCGTCACGCAGAGTAGTTTAATTTGGTGTAAAGTTCACTGCATTTAGTGTGATGAGGATGTTGTAATGGGTTTGTTGTTTTCTATTTGCACGGCTCAAAAGGAAAAGACGTCTGAATATGGACTTTGCTCCATTCAGGTGCAAATAATTATTTATCTATCATGCATTAAGTATCATGCAGCAAGAACACAACAACTCATGCAAACACAACAGAACATATCAATAGAATGTAGGTTTAAAGGGCATCTCCGTCTCATGCATTGATATGCCTTAGTCACGTAGTTCAAATTAGCCACTTCCTCTTGACCTACAGTTAATACGCAAAGAGCGTCATATAGCACGAATGGTCGACCTCCTAATATGACGTGATTGGACGCTCCCTCGCCGGCTACACAATGGACGCTGGACCAACCAGACAGTCAGCCTCCTCCATGCCTCCGGAGGACACGATATTTAAAGTGATCACTGCTCACCTCAGTCCCAGCAGATGGATAATACTTTACACAGCTGTGCAAGCTCTGGGCCCCGTCCACACACACCGAGCCTTACGTTGTTACCTTGACAGTTGGTGTTGAGTTAGACCGCAGAGTTGTTTGTTTGCCCAGGGAAGTGACATGACGGCAGGGGAGGAAATAGGAAACATAACAGACTACCTGACAGACTCATTCCACGGGCTTGACCTGAGACTGGAACTGAGCCAGCCAGCAATCAGAATGAAATAACAAGAGGAGGCTCTTTTGTTTGTTCAGCCTCTATCCTTATATTCGCAAATATTGTAAATCTTGTCATCCTGCAAGTGTGTGAAAGATTCAATTAGTGAAATTGAAGAGATTATGTACTGCCCTCATGGAATGCCTGCAAGTGCCTAAGTGTATGCAGTGCAAAGTTTACGCAGTGCACAACAATGTCATGCTACTGTTGAATGTCTGTTCATGTTTACCTCCTTTTTCCTTTCTTTTTGATTTATTGCAGCAAAAAGAGCAGTGCTGACTGTCTTTGGTGCAGCAGTGGAGTCCGACGAAAGGTTAAGATGACAATGAGTCAACTTCTAGGGAGGAAAAGATTGAGGCTGACAAGTTGAGTGTTTTGCCCTCACTTCCCTAAAACTTAAGTCACAGTATCCACAAAACTCAGGTAATACTCCAGTAGAGCTCTTCTGGGCATCTAAGAGAAAGGATTTGACATGCTAATCAAAGATAAGTATAACTAAGTACTTTCCCAATGAAAACTACTGCATATTTAATGGATTAGATAGTACATGGAGTTTATTATCTCACTGCAGAGGCATCTTGTTGGATAAAAGATGATCATAGTCAAAAACAGCAGCACCATTATATATCATTTAATGGGAAATGCATATTATAATTGCTACTCTATGAATAGCCTGTATAAATATCTAATATGTATTTGAAGCTATTTGATCTTGTCTGCTTTCGCTGTCCAATGAAAACCATGTCTTTCCAGTTCTGGTGGTTTTGAATTCTTTCTGAAAAACTGAAAGATTAAGTGTTTTGAAAAACGTAAAAAAAAAACAAAACAACAACACTGGATTACCTGAACATGCATCGTCACAAAGGTGAAAACAAGACTGGTTTTCTTAATTCATGAAAAGATTACATTTTGGAGATACATGGTTTTCATTGGATTTTATCTTGCTTATATATTTTGTCTCCATGGTGGAGTGAGTTTTTTGAATAAAAAAAAAATCTCATAAAATGTCAAAGCATATTGGAATAATATGATATAATGATGTTGTTCTGTTCAGCAGTGTATGCTCCAGTATAGCAACTCACCTCATGCCTGACTCGAGGTTCTTGTCTTGTCGTGTAGCGTGAGGATGATTTGTTGACGCTTGATTCTTTGTCCTTGTCCGTGTTACCGTGTCCTACCCTGAGGTTGTGGACGTGATTGTTGAGACATTACAGAGTGTCTTTACCAAGGGAGTCTGCAGCAGCACCCTGACCTGACCCTGACAACTCTGGGGTTGATGCTGCACCACAGACTACTTTTTCACCCCAACGCCTGGGGCATCACCCGTCCAGCTCAGACATCCAAAATATGGTTGCACTCAAATGGACCCTCCACAGAGTTTTGAACCCCTGCAGGCACAGAGGGTAATGATATAACCCCAAAGAAATGAGCACAGTATGCGGCCAGCTCCAAACACTGGTACATGATGAATGTTGTCATTCTGGTCACTTTAATCACAATCAGAGTAAGTGTTGGAAGGTCTATCAAAAGAGCCTGATCATGCTTGGATATGCGTACCAAGAAGGGTCATTTTTGTGTACATATGTTCACCACAAGTGTTGTTTTCCGCTTTCATAGCAAGAAACATGTTTTTTTTGCTCATTACTGTGTGAATTTTTGTGGTGTGTTTGTGGTTAAGGTACAGCAGGCCAGGTTGACAAAGCCTCTCCTGAAAAATGGTGGGTGAGTAAAGACGGGTAAGTAAGATGCTAATCAGCGCGGCCGTGTTTCCTCCCGCTCACTGAACAGCGGGTTCCCTTCCCTCACTCTGGCTCTTTAATGCAGGGCCCAGCCAGGCCCAAACATCCTGACGGAGAGAGGCTTTTCCCTTATCAGTCAGGAAACACCGCTCCTCTGCCACATCCTTTTTACAAGAAGCACGACTCAACCGTTCCCAAAAAATGCAGGAAGACCAGCCAGACTCCAGGATTTGTCAAAAGCCCCCTGAATTCCTTTTATCGAAAAAGAAAAATTCAAGAGAACAGAGAGGGTGAGAAGGGGAGGAGTGGAGAGAGGAGAGGGGAAAAAAAGAGAAAAATGAGGAGCATGTAAAACAGTCAACGAAGCCCTGGGATTTATTTTTTTATTTATTTCGCACAGATTACGAAAGGTCTGCATCAGCAAGATATAACACGGGATGAAGGGGTGGGGGTGGGGGGGGGTTGCCGGAGTGCCTAAGAATGGCACCCAGAATAAGAATCCAGGAAAACAAAGGACGGTTGAGATGGAGGCGGGTGGCGACGGCTGTGCCTGTTTTACACTAATCCTCTGAACCGGGATGAAATGAAAGCGAGAGGAGACGGATGGAGGATGATGTGATGGAGGGTGGAAAAAGCAAGCCGGGGTGTGGGTGTCATAATGGGCCACTCGGAGTACAACAGCTAGACAGAGCCCGAAATAGAAGAATTAATGGTGTGACACTGAATTCAGAGATGGACAAGTAACACACACCATTTTTCAAAAACTACTTAGCAGGAGTCCTACGTTCTTGTATTGTTTTTATTTAGGAATCTGATTGTATTAATTATGTATATGAGTGGAAATGTAGTTCATCTGCTTCCACATAATGTCTTTTAAGTGTTATGAGTTATTACCAATATCTCCTGTTCGGGTGTAATAATGAAATAATAAAAAAAAACTTTGCTGTGGTTTTGTCTGTGGGCACATTATCCAAGTAGAACTGCATTAATATAAAAATTGACCTTTATTTTAAATTATTGTCTTTCACAAACCTAAATCAGCATACAGTTATAGTTACCATTATTATTTTTCATCGTAGAGGGTATGATTATATATTATTAAGTACTTGAGAGAAGGTATAAACGCCTATTTTTCTTCATTATACACTGTTTTTGTTAAATTGCATAAGAAATGTCCAACTAAAACCTCATTCAATTACAACTACTGAGGTAAGACTCCCAAACTAATGAGAGCAAGAACATATAATACAAACATTCGAATGGAAAGCGTTGATAATAGCATTACAGTTAGCATTTATGCGAAACATCAAAGGACTTAAATTAGCTTCTAAAGAGCATCTGTACACACCTAGGTGGCAACAGTAACTGGAGACATTTACAAGTGGACAACAAGTCTTTTACGATTGTTCTTCTGGTTTAGAAATTTCATGACAACTGGAGGTGGCATACTATAGTATTTTGTGTCTGCATCCCTGAGGTGTCCATCTCCCTTTCTTCATATTCCTCCAATTGCTCTTTGTTCTTTCCTCGGCTCCAGACAATCATATTGCTCAGTAATCAGTTCAGTCCAGGTTTTAATCATGGCGGGATGACGTTGCCAATAGGTGCTAATAGGTTTTGAAATTACACACAGGAGCACAGAAATCTGTCCCTCATCAGCACCCGTGTGCAACATCATCCCAAATTTCTTCACCCATTTTAAACCATGTAGTCTCTTATCAGTCACAAGTTTAATGGGTGCTGTGACTAAGCTTACGAGATGCCATAATTGTTGTAGTAGGCCGCTGTTGCGTCTGCCAGCACAGAAATGAGGCTGGTTTCGGTGGTGCTACTGGGACACGCGGTGGCAGAAGTAGTGGCGGCTGACGCCACCTGGATGTGTCCTGTAACAGTCATGCTGCTGCCCTGCTCAGGGTGGTACCCGGGCCCAGTGGAGTTCAGGTACTGGTCAAACTCATTGCGGTCCACCTCTCCCAGAAGCTCAGCCTGGCTCAGCTGGTCTAGAGTCTCCAGGTGGCCTTGTGTCTCTGGTGGGGGGGACAGCTGACCCAGGTGGCCCTGGTGGAGCCCGTGGTGAAGCTGGGGGAAAGATGAGGTACTGTAGTAAGACAGTGGAGGGCCAGGGATCAGTCCACTGCCTCCTCCAGTTTGGGACATGTGAGAGATGTGACCTATGTGTGTTCCCCCACAGTGGATTGGGGTCTGAGTGTAGTCAGTGTGATAAGGGGGTGGGCTGCCCATGTGTGTCTGATTCTGATGGTGCTCATCTTGACAGGAGGCTGAGGAAGAGCAGGAGACGGAGGAGCTACCAGACGTTGAGTAATAAGAGGGGGGTACATGCTCGTGGTCCATGGCATCCAAGGGGGACATCTCAGGAGGGGTGGGCAGGCCGTAGGGGTAGGTGTCGAAGCTGCTGTTGGAACCGGCAGGGTCTCTGAAGCTTCTGACACTGGGCAGAGCGGGGCTGGGGCTGGAAAACCCACTGCCGAGACCATTAGGGCTGCCCTCATCTTTGTCGAGGGGGTGACAGAGGGCTCGCTGGTCGGGCAGGGCGTTCTGATCAGGAGCCAGCCCACTCAGGAGGAAGCCAGGGTCCACTCGCTTGCAGATGCGTTTCAGCTGTTTCTTCCGGCGAGGCCGATACTTGTAGTTAGGATAGTCCTGCATGTGCTGCACCCGAAGCCTCTCTGCTTCCTCCACGTAGGGCCTCTTCTGCGGGGGAGTCAGGGCCTTCCATGACTTGCCTGGATGAAGAGGAGACAGACAAATTTTTATTTTAATCAAAAATCCTGAATATGACTCAACAAAGCAGAATGCAATTTAGTCTCAGAAAAATTAATAAATACATTCATGTCTGTTTTTTGTACTAACACAATATTAAAATGACCAAACAATTTTTTTTCTCATACTCTAAAACTAAAGAAATAAATATAAAAAATGTTCTAAAGAAAAATGTTTTTTAAAAGTTGTAGACCTACAGTTCTTACATGGAAAATTAAGGTATGAAATTAATATGAACAACGGTGGGATGACAACATGTTTTCCTGAATCACACAAAAGACAAACAGCACTTTGAAATAGACTTCACATTAAAATATAATAAATCTTCATCAACTTTTTTTAGAGTCTTCATTTCTTTTGCAGATGACAATTACAAACAAAACAGGAGAGAAAAAGGAAAGAATCATTTCTATCAAAACTTTGAAACTGCTACCTCACATCCAGCTTCCTTTTCAGCTCAGAATTGTATCAAATAAACTTAACTGCAACTAATGAATACCCTATTGTACCTATGTTTATAAATGCATATTTTACATTTACATTTTTATTGTATATATTGCTGTTCTTGTGTTGACTTAATGATGATTTCCGATTTGCGCAAAAGGCAGCTTTGGATCTTAAAATTAAACACTAATCCATGTGGACGAAACCCAAGGCAAAATCACACATTAACAGTCCTTTCCTGTGGCTGTTCTCTCAGCTCTTTTTATTTATGTGTTGACATTCACTTTTAAATTTGAGATTTTGACGACACATTAATGGCTCTGAAATTATGTGAATTATTTACTTGGTTTAACTTATAAAAAGCAGCAATTAAAAACGTTGTTTTGTTGTTTTTCCTTCAACAGTTTTTAAGTTTATTTAGATTTTAATTCAGCCTACCTTTTGGCGTCTGACACAACCTAAAAAACTTTTGTCAAACAGCCGAGGCCTGAAGGGATTGTAAGTGTGAGGAGGGATTAAAAAAAAGTAGCAAAAATAATAGCTATTAACAAATAATAATGATGTATTATAATAATATCTATATATTAAAAGTTAATTCTTTAAATAACTTTCTTCTTCTCACCCAACATTTTGCTGAGCTCGGCGTTGTGCAGGTCCGGATTTTGAACCGCCAGCCGTTTGCGCTCATCTTTGGCCCAGACCATGAACGCGTTCATGGGCCGTCTGATCCGCGGCTCCGGAGCCTTGTCCACTGGGGTCCTGTGCGGGCCATGTCCGTCGGCAACGTCCCCGTCTCCTAGAGGACACTCGAAGGACTCTGGCCACGACGAGAACTTGCTGATGAGGGCTGCCATCTGCGCGCTCCAAACTTAAGATGCGCCTCTCAACTCTCTCTGTGACAAAAGTTGTCTTCTGTCTCTCTGTCTCTCTGTCTCTCTGTCTCTCTCTCTGATTGCGGGCTACACAGTGCGGGCTAATTAAAAAGCTGGAAAATCACTCTAGCTGCTTTTTAGGAAAAAAATAAAATACAATCCAGCGGTGACTAGATCACTAGAGCTACAGGCTACAGTCAGATGTCAGTGCAGGTTTCAGGAGAGAGCACATTTGCGCTCAGGCAGCGGCTCCTCCTTGTGAGTTATGATTCAGTCTTTCCTGGTGGATGGGGGGAGCGCTTTATATTTGAGGAGCAGGTTCCAGGAGAAACCCCGGAGGACTCTCGGCTCCTCCTTGATTGCAAGTTGAGCCCCGTGAAAGGGAAGAGAGAGAAGCCGGCATTTCAACACTACTAACTACTTAAACCGGCCTCACAACAAAACAACACCTCACACTGACAGATAATGTAAATTCTGTTAAGTCTAACACAACAAAACATGATAATTCAGTTGTTCTTTTTTATTCTTTTTTTTTTGGAGCTACTGATCACCAATTACCTTCTTTATGCAGTCAAAGTTTGTCAAACAAGAAAACAGACATATTTTTCAAACATTGAAGCTTGTGTAGTGGTGACAAACAGGGATTGTTTTCCATCCAGTCAACAAGGAAAACCTCCACCTGACAAACTTGTTCTGCAGTGTACTCAACGACGTTACACAGCAACCTGCATGGGTTAAGTGACGTTTTCAGATTTCCACTGAACCGCAGAGCCAGTGTGACATGGTCTTCACAAGCAAAAAACACAACACTCGCATTTAGAAAAAGCCTGATCTTCCTGTTTCTATTTTTTTTTCAATCTATGTAAAACATAGGCTACATTTTTCTTTTTACATAAAATACTAGCATTATTTTTTTTTCGTGGTTCATCTCAAAGCAAAACCCTATTTCTGGAACCTGTGAACACATCTGTGGGTGAGAGGAGAGATAAAACTACTGAACACACACTATAAACAAATCAGTTTCCTTCTGTGGCCATATCAAATCCAGGAGTTCCTGTTGACAGGATACTCTTGGGCTGCAGCCATTGAGTAGCTCACACACTCTGTGTCACACACACACACACACACACACACACACACACACACACACACACAGCTCAAACACTTGCTTCTGATCAGGTCAGATAGTAAATCTTGGTATGGGATATTTATGCAGGAGAAAGTAACCTGAGTACAGATAGGAAGAATTTCCAAGTTTCCTCCTCCAGAGTTAATCCACAGGCAAGATGCATCTTAAGTTGCATTACACGTCTTTTAGTTGAGTAGTTCCCTCCAGAACCCATCAAACTGAAGTGTCAGCTCTATAGCTTTGTGTTGAGACTTGCCCCCCACAGGAACAGGATACGGCACCTGAAGCCACAGATTGTGCGCAGAGCAGGCACATTAGTGATATATAGGGCTGCACTTCCTCTTGCTGGTCTGACGTGGGCCCATGCTGATGAGCAGTCAGTAAAAGTCAGCACTGCAGAACAAGTGTGAGCTGATGGAGGCCTAGGGTCAGCCAGACAAGACAAAGCAGCAGACTGAAATCCTGTGAGTTTCACATCATATTTGCAATTTGGAATCAAACACATGAAAGCTCAGAGTTGGGGGTTTCTGACATGACTAGAAGCTCTGTGTGTTGACCACTGTGTGGGTGTGAGTTGTATCAGCCTGCTGTTGTTCACCCTTTCAGTGTAAAAGACATGTGGCTCCTAAAGATTTGAGAAGGGGGTTTGTCTTCATGTACGTGCTGTGTGAATGAAAATTTCCCGACAGCAACACAACTTTTTAGCATTTTTTTTTTTTATTACTTTTTCTCTCTCATACATAACCTGCGGTCATACACTTTTAATGTAATTTTCAAAATAAAAGTGGGCAGCATCATTCTGTACACATCGTATGTCAGTAAATGGTGGCGGTAGATGTTACTTTTACAAGGAAAAATTATTTTAGAATTGCCACATCAGCTTGAAAAGCTAATATTTATGTTTGCAATAGTGTCTTTAATTTTGAAACATAAAAAAATGATAAAAACGATGCACATTTTAATTTAGCATAGCTAAAGGCCCAGTTGCTAAAGCATTTTCCTGATCTATTTTGTACCATTATACCATCTAATCCACCTTCTATACGGACTAACAGGTTTAGTGATAACTTGCTGAGTAACCTCGAGTTGATGACTGTAGTGTATGATGACAAGGAGAGGGAAAAACAACTTCACACCTGAGATGCTCACAGTAAAAGTCATGTACCAGGTTGACAAATGCAATGTCATTTTTTGTAACTGACACCCAAAATAGTGACAAGGAACTTGTCACTATTTTCTGTGTCGTATTGATGTGCAAGATTGGATGGCTGTAGTTTCCCTTTTCCTCCTTTGACTCACACCACCCAGTCATTGCTCAACAAGACTGGCTTGTTAAGAGTTCGTCTGTCAAGTCAAAGAAAAGATTTCATAACCTCATAAATCACATTTGGAAGGTGAAATGGTGAGTGCTGTGAAAGCTGCCTATGTTTAGATACAATATCTTTAGATTACCTTTACAGCTGATCAGCAAGTTTCTCCACAGAACTCTCCTATATTTTCTTTATACATCCACCTATGAAGAAAACAAAAATAAAACATGCACAAGCATCTGGATTTATTTAAAAAGGGATTTGATCCAGGTAAAGCACCAAAGTTTTTCAGCTCATAAATCAGATCATTTCTATGTGCGTCTGTTGTTGTTACAAAACTGACTCTGGGTCACTTTAACAATATTGAGAGTTTCATTTGACACTGGGATATCTGTCATTTGAAGATATGGATAAAAAATAAAAATAATTGCCGGCTAGAAAATAAAAGCCATTGAAATATTGCTTATATATTTAATATGGAAACATACACAACAATGGCATCTGCAAAAAAACTAATTTTGACACAATGATCACAAAGACTACATGAATATCCTAAACCAATTTATAGTATAGTAGGAAATTTTATATTTTATTCATTAGACAGACCTTATTATCTTAAAGAGGGCTGGTTAAAATAGTCTGTCAGCTTGTGATGTCTGTATTAATGCAGTTTACACATTGTGGGGCCAGTCGAACAGAACGAAATAGACTGAACAGATTAAAGGAATAGTTTAACATTTTGGGGCCTACGTTTATTCGCTGAATGAGAAAATGAATGTCTCTCTCTTGTCTGTACAGTAAATATGATGCTGCAACCAGCAGGTGGTTAGCTTAGCTTAGGATCAAGATTGTAAACAGCTAGCCCAGCCCTGACTAAAGGTATCCACCTACCAGCATCTCAGAAAACTCCGTAATTATCATGTCATGTCTTGTTTGTTGAAACAGAACAAAATCTAGTGAGTGAAAACAACATGTAGTGGTTTTATGGGCTGTTATGCTATAGTCCTTAGCTTCATATATACTGTGCAGACGTGAGTGGAATCAATCTCCTCATCGAGGCATGTTACCACCTGCAGTAACGGTTGTGTATCCCAGTGTCTGTCACTTTACTGGGCAGCTTGACCAAATATCAAACCTCCTCTCTCCTCACTGAAGCCAAGTGTTCGTCATGGACAGGTAATTAGGTTGTACATAAAAATGACATTTGATTGGCTCATGAAAAAGCATTTTTTTCATACATGCGAGCCTCCAGGATAACAGCACAAACTCCTAACTCCACCCTATTCTTGATGTTTCTTCTTCTTTTTCTTGTTCTTTTTGGATTTCTTCTCCACCACGTCCTCCTTGTCCTCTTCTACAACATCGCCCGCCTCCTCTCGGTGTTTCTTTCTCTTTTTCTGTACAACCTCTGATTCTGCAGTTTGCTCCTCAGATGGCTCGTGTCCATTTAGTACCTCCGTTTCCTTATTGTGCTTTTTAAGCTTTTTCTTTTTGGAAGGAGGCAGCTCCTCACAGTTCTGCTCCACACCAGAGGTGGAGCTGCAGTTCTCGTCTGTAGCATCTTCGTTTTCTGCCATTTTCCTCTTTTTCTTCTTTTTCTTTGAACGTTCCTGCTCCTGGTTGTCATCATCTTCCACTACAATGGGAATACTACTCTTGTCTTCTACCATTTCCGCCTCATCCGTTGCCTTTTTCTTCTTATTCTTCTTCTTTTTCTTTTTGGGCTCCTCCGTGTCATTGTTGCTACTGTGGATGGGACTGGGTTCCTCGGGTGGACGTGATGTCTCGGTGGTCTCCGTCTCCTCTGGGGATGTTGCACTCTGGGCCTGTCCCCGAGCCTTCTTCAGCTGAGCCATTCGCTGCGCAAAATACTCCTGCATAGTGAGAGTACTCGTCACCGTCTTGGACTCTGTATCCAGTTCAGGAGTAGCAGGAGTAGCAGGAGTCGTATTCTCCTCCGCCTCACCCTGAGAATCACTGCTGTTGCTCTCCTAGACCAAAAACACACAAAAAAACAATACAGAGTTAAGCTTTGATGCAGCATTTCAACGATCTACACAGAAATAGACAGCAGACAATGGTTCGCCTGGAAGCTTAAGTGACTGTCAATCAACATGCAGAGATTAACCAGGAAGATTTAAGTGAGTGAAAAGAGAAATAGGATGTTGATGTAACAATAGCTGTTAAAAGGATCACCTTAAAATAAACATCCCGGACCTGTCACACCTGACATTTTTCATCTTTTTCTTAAAACACTACGTAGGTCCACACATCCAGCTGTGTGTCCTTGCGCAGTCAACTCCTTCACTGCTCTCCCTCTGCAACAGCTCCTTGATAGTAAAGCAAGCTCCAGCTGAGATTTGACTTTTCCCACCAGAATGCAACAATATCTGTGTCTGATGAGGGAGAGTCTGACAAAAACATAAGTGCTGACAGCGTGCAGGAGCCACTTCTCAGTTCAGAGTGACACCAGTTCACTTCCTGATATTTAAAGTGCATCAGTATCAGCAAATTACTGAATGATTTACTGAGCAAACAACTCCCATTTAACACAGTCTTCAATTAAGAACATGAACATCGACAACAATTCATAGCTTGATCCTTCAGAGCTTTTCGGGGAAAACCTGAATAGCAACACTTCTGATTCAACAGTTCTGCAGTAAATACAAATTTGGTATTGCTATGATTTATTTTCGGTGTTGACTTGGCTCAATGTTTTGAAATGAAATTCAGTGGTTTTCTTTATCTTTCAGGTTTTATTCCTCTTGCAGGAAATGCAGGTTTCTGGTGTTAAGCATATGCAATCATGATAA